AGACCATCAACACCCGATCTTCCAAGTGACACTGGGTCTAACACCTGACTCCTTGTCTCTTGCCGACTACGGTCCTTCTGACCTCTGTCGCCTACTACGGTCCGTCCGACCTCCATCACCAGACAACGGTCTTTCAGACCCCAGTCTCCTACTGCCTACGGTCCTTCAGGCCTTCATCGCCTACTACGGTCCGTCCGACCTCAGTGACACTGGGACTGTCTTTCAGACCCCAGTCTCCTACTGCCTACGGTCCTTCAGGCCTTCATCGCCTACTACGGTCCGTCCGACCTCCATCACCAGACAACGGTCTTTCAGACCCCAGTCTCCTACTGCCTACGGTCCTTCAGGCCTTCGTCGCCTACTATGGTCCTTCCGACCTCCATCAACAGACAACGGTCTTTCTGACCCCGGTCTCCTGCCGACCACGGTCTCCTGCCGACTACGGTCCTTCAGGCCAAACAAACCTGTATATGTAACTCCTACCATGTAATGCAATCTATATGATGTACATTTGCTACATCAATCCAAGGCCTTCTCCTAAGGAAGGGCCTCATTTGTAATCGACTACAAATACTAGTGGATTCATTCAAACTGGGCCAGGCCCCGTGGTTTTTCCCCCTTTTCAGGGGTTTTCCACGTAAAAACTCTGGTGTCTCTTATGAATGCTACACCCTCTCACTTATCTGCTTGTGTGCTGGATCTTCGTACAATGCTAAGACGTTAAACTAAATATTTCTCTACCGCCGCGAATATTCCAGGACGCAACAATACTTATTAGGCATTTAGTCATAATCTTATATTAAAAATAGAGACATACAATTTCCTTTCATTGCAAGTCATGATTTTGTGTGAATTTTTTCTTTTAGGGACATTTGGATTAATTAAAGCAAATTTACACATACATCACATACACAAGTATCGAATTTAAAACCTCTTAGCCGGTAACCAATACTCTCAACAAACAGAATAAAGTGAGCTGCGTGATTTTTGTCTGAATGAGTTTGTGCCTTTGAAATCCTTAGTATTTATACACTATCATTGTGTTTGTTAGGCATAAATTTAGAACATATTAGAAGCGATTTTATAAGAAAATATAAAGATGTTGTCTTTATACATTGTTGGCATAAATTCACTGATGTTTGATACAACTATAAATGATACCATATAATTGTTGAGTGAGCTGCTGTGAGCATAACTAGATACACATATGTTGACAATGAGTAAAACCACATTATTATCATCATCATCATCAGTGGTGAGACATTTTTCTAATGTTTTGTTTGGGATGACTTTTACACTGCTTTATAAAGTTACTTTTTAATATAAAAATGTATTAAAAGTAGAAAAAATAGTGGTCTAAAGCTGTATCAAACACAAGTCTAAGTTTCAAAGGTGTCCAGTTGTATTAGGGGTGTCAATTCGGGTCAACGGGTCGGGTTCGGGTCAAACTCGAAACTATTCAGGTCAACCTGAATTGACCCGTTTTTAAAAACGGGTCAGGTTTACGGACCCGAACCCGACCCGATTCGGGTCCAGGTCAACCCGACCCGACATGAATGACCTGAAGTTGACCTAAAATTGTTAGTTTTCAGGTCAATCTTCGATTTTTCGTGTCAAAATAGGGTAAAAAATGGGTCAATCTAGGGTTTCCGGGTCAAATAGGAGTTCGTGTCAATTTCAGGTCATTTTCCGGTCAATTTCGGGTTGCTGGGTTAACCCGAACCTGACCCGTTTCGGGTCCGGGTTGACCCTAACCCGGATTTTTTCGGGTCGGGTTCGGGTCGTGTTTCGGGTCGTGCCAAAAAATTGACACCCCTAAGTTGTATTATATTCCTCATAATTCCATGTTGATGCCAGTCCACACAATTATTTCCACCTAATAATTTCGCCATTCAGTCTTGAAAAATCCTAAAATGCTCTCATTAAAAGAGAAATAAGGAGAAAGAGATATGTATGCTAAAAAATAATTAAATATATGAGCATATATCTAATTAAATGTGTAGTATAAACTATCTTAAAATTTAGACCATTTTTTAAAGTAATCTAATTGAGATTAAAGAAATAGAATTTTGAGTGCAACATAAAATATGAGTTAATTATGTATAGATACCTAATTTTATATTTCCAATTTTATAAAATGCTAAAATTATTATTCATAAAATATGTTTTGTTTTTGGGAATATTTGGATCAATTAACACAAATTCACACAAACATCACATACAGAATTAAGCTTCAAACTCAAGATCTCTTGATTGATAGCCAAAACACTCGACTAACAGATCAAAACGAGTTGCATTTATAAAATATGATTATGATTCACAATCTATATGGATAAGATGCACTCCATCATACAAATATGATACAACGTTCAATACATATTACAGAGACCGATATGATACAACCCAACATACATATTACGTAGGCGAATATAATATAGTCATCCATTAATATTAACATTCTAAAATCATTTTCCTTCTATATATTAAGATATTATTTTAATTTAATTCTATCTTGATAACTTTATATGAAATATGTTGAGTGAATTTAATCTTCTTCATTAAAAAATTGAATCTCTTTTCTTCGCCTAACAATATAAAGTTTAAAAACTTGGAAATTATACCCAATATATTTTTGATATCTCAGTTGATCGCATATCAACATTTTTTTTTATTTTAGTTGGTCCAAATAATATTATTCTACTTTTTTTATTACTTCTCAAAATAATTTTTTAGTATAAAAATTTTAATTTTTTTTAAAAATTAATTTAAGAAGCAATAAAAAAATTGTTCTAAACTAACCCACATTATAGAAAAGTTTTTTTTTTTTTTTTCTTAAATATCTGAGCTCTCATTTACTTGTTAGTAGGGGTTGTTTGGTTTGCTAAAAAAAAATGTAGTGTAAAAATAATATAATTTAAAATAAATGTAATGTGTTTAAAATGTTTGGAGTTATTTGAATAACCTTCCGTTGGCGATACTCGCCGTAGGAATAAGAAGCCAATCCCCAAAGCGACAGTATCAGAGCAACCGCCTTCTCGCCGCTGAATTTCTCGTGTAGGAAGACGACGCCCAAAACTTCGATGACCGGAATAAGGGAGGCGACGACGACGGCGGCGAGCAGAGTATTAACACAGAAGATAACCCCCACCGCTCCCACGAAGAAACATTGCCAGAACACAGCGCACCAGACCAGAACCAAATAGTACTTTCTCTCTCCCAATCCATACCTCTCTGCTTCTCCCTCAATCGCCTGATTCCAAGTCGTAAATCCAGAATCCGATTACGATTAAAAAAAAAAGATATGATTTTTTTTTTTGTTTTTTCTATAGATTACGCACCTGGAAATCCTTGTTGACGATCATCCCGATGGTGCAGAACGCCGTGGAAAAAAAACCCATTACAAACTGCATCTCGATCACCAGCGTGTAACTGACGACTCTCTCCGCCTTCGCATAAGCCAGCTCCACCAACGGCAACACCAACCCGTACAACGCCGCCGCCCCGATCGTCAGAACAAACCCCTTCCAATACCCTGCCGCACTCACCCCGTCCGGCCGATCCCCATTCGCGTGCAAGGCAAGCACGCCGGCGCCCACCGTTAATAACGCGATCGCATTAATCGAAAAGGGTGTGAATCTCTGCCGCACGATCAGAAAAGCGAAGAAAGCAGTGAAGCCGAGATGGGTTGCGGTTAAGACGATGGCGGTGGAGACGGGGAGGAAATCGAGCCCGTAGGCGTAAAGGTAATCGTCGAGGCCTGTGAGGATGCCGATGATGGCGGAGGCGATGAGGAGGCGGGTGTTGAGGTGGATGAAAGGGGTTGAGGGATTGGAGCGGCGGCGGTGGAGGTAGGAGACGGAGAGGGGGATGAGGAGGAGAGGAAAACCGGCGGTTTCGAGAAAGGAGGAGAGCCATTGGCGGCGGCCTCCGTGGAGGAAGTAGAGGCGGAGGAGGATGGGGCCGCCGGTGTCGCCTAGGCAGAGCAAGAGACAGTTGAGGATGGTGAGGATGGAAGCGATTCGACGGCTTAGATCATCTCGGTTTTCGGCCATGAATATGGCTATAACTGCTAGTGGTGATCTCTGGATGGTGCAGCAGCTTGCGATAGTAAAAATTATAAAAAAAAAAAAATCTTCATTCTTTCATACTCTCCTAGTGTGGGAAGAATTCTTCGTCCTTTCACACTCTCCTAATATGAGCAGAGAACCCTTCATTTGTTTGTAAATTTCTCAAAGCAAAAATGGTTAAGATTATTGCTTAAAATAAAATTTAAATTTATTATAATTTTTTTGAGAATGATTATACTATTGGAGGAGTTAATTAACGTTTATTTTATGTTTATCTAAGAAATATAATGGATATAAAATAATTATGCTCTAAAATTTTTCAGTAAAAACAGATTTACAAATATTCATCCATCTTATAAACAGTGATCCACATATATGTACATAACTTTGTCTGTGATTAAGGGTGCAACTGAGTCAAGCCGACTTGCAAGTCAGCTCTCCACTTGACTCATCAACTCGTTGAGCAGCCTGCAGAGGTGATCGAGCGTGGAAACTAAATCTCGTTTTGGGCGGTGGGAGGATGAATCGAAAGTCGGGTGGGAAAACCAAAATGACGAAGCTCGACAACGGAGCTTGCGTGTTGCTAGAGGCGGCTTGCCTTCTTGGGACGACGAAGCTCGCATGCTGCTAGCCAGCTCGGGATGGAGCTCACGTGCAGCTAAACGAGTCAAGCTCGAGCTGGTCTTTGGAGCTCGACTTGAGTTCGAGCTCGGTATTGAAAGTCGAGCTCAACTCAAACACCACCTGGCTCGAGCTTTAGTCGACTCGTTTGCACCCTTATCTGTGATAACATACATTGACATAAGTGTCGATGACATGCATTATTCTTGATACATCATCAAAAAATTATCTCGATCGGGCACGAATCTTGATGCAAAATTGAGTTGGAAACTTTAAAAATTAATTCAGAAACCATCTCAACTCCGATTTCAGCAAACTTACAGTCAAACTGAGCGTCTCGGAAATACGAATCCAACGACACCAAATTCGACTCAATCCAATCCCAAATGAGCCCAAATAAAGGACCCGAAGCGCTGTTGGAAACTTCGTAACACTGTTTGAGTTACCAAACGATGTCAGATTTTAACGATCTTATACTCGAATCGAACGGCTCGACGAAACGAATCCAACGAACCCAAGATCACCGAATTCTGACATCACTAAGGCCATCAAATATCCAACGAATAGTGCACGACCATAGGATTCAGCATCGGCCGTCCATTCGATCACTCCCTATTCGTCCTTGATCTCACGCCTATTTACAGGCCATGCCACTCCATAAAATCTATAAATAGAGCCCTCATTTCTCATGAGAGGGGATCCAAGTGAAGAGAGAGAAGAAGAAGAGAAGGGAAGGAAGAGAAGGAAGAAGCTCCTCGACCACTGCCGGACCACTGCAGGAGCCTCGCCGGACCACTGCCAGACCACCGCAGGAGCCTCGTCGGACCACCGCCGGACCACCGCAGGAGCTTCGCCGGACCGCCGCCGGAGTTTCATTGCACCACCGTCTTAAGGCCCGACGTTTTACTTAAGGTCCGACGTTCAGACCCGACGCTCTTGTTAAGGCCCGACGCTCAGACCCTACGCTCTGCTTAAGGCCCGACGTTCAGACCCGACACTCTGCTTAAGGCCTGGCGCTCAGACCCGACGTTATGCTTAAGGCCTGACGTTCAAGCCCGACGTTCAAACCCGACGCTCTGCTTAAGGCCCGACGCTCAGACCCGTCGTTCTGCTTAAGGCCTGACGTTCAGACCCGACGTCCTGCTGAAGACCCAACATCCTGTTTAAGACCCGACGTTCTGCTGAAGGCCCTTTGTTCTGCTCAAGGCCAAACTGTCAACACCCGAACTTCCAAGTGACATTGGTCTAACACCTGACTCCGATTGAATAATTACTAATTGTAAATCTGATCGCCCTTAGAGGAGATTCAGTCCTTTGTAACCGATTCAAAGTCTAGTGGAATCATTTTCAACTGGGCTAGGCCTCGTGGTTTTTCCCCTTTCAAGGGTTTTCCACGTAAAAAATATTGTGTTCTCTGTGTGTGAGCTAGTTATTCGTACAACGTTAAGAAGCAAAATTAAATCTCTATCGCCGCGTATTTTCTAGCCCGCAATAATTCTAGTTGGTGATGATACGCACATAGTGTTGATTGTGTGCATTTAGTTTAATGGTTGATACGTCCACCAAAAATTATCTTGATCGGGCACGGATTTCGATGCAAAATCAAGTTGGAAACTTCCAAAATTAATTCGGAGACCATATCAACTCCAATTTCAGCAAATTTATAGTCGAACTGAGCGTCTCGAAAATACGAACCCAACGACACCAAATTCAACCCAATCCAATCCCAAACGGGTCCAAATCAAGGACCCGAAGCGCTGTTGTAAGGTTCAAACCACAATTTGGATTACCAAACGGTTTCCAAACATAACAAGCTTATAGTTGAATCGAGCAGCTCGACGAGACGAATCCAACGAGCCCAAGATCGCTGAATTCCAACAACATTAAGACCTTCAATATCTAACGAACGATCTATTATCAAGGGATTCAATATCGTCCGTCCATTGAACCACTCCACATTTACCTCTGATTTCTCACCTATTTACAGGTCATGCCACCTTAGGAAATTTATAAATAGACCTCTCATTTCTCTTAAGAGGGGGAGGGAAGCAAGAACAGAAGAAGAGAAGAGAAGGAAGAAGCTCCTCTTCGACCACCGCCGGAGTTTCGTCGGACCACCGCCGGAGTTTCGTCGGACCACCGTCGGAACTTTGCCGGACCACCACTTGAGGCTCTCACCTCCGCCGGACCACCGCCTGACATTGGTTCTCCGCCGGACCACCACTTGAGGTCCTCACCTCTGCCAGACCACCGCCTGATGCTGTTGCTCCGTCGGACCACCACTTGAGGCCCTCACCTCCGTTGGACCATCGTCTGACGCTGTTGCTCCGCCAGACCACCACTTGAGGACCTCACCTCCTTCGAACCACCGCCTGACGTTGTTGCTCCGCCAGACCACCACCTGAGGCCCTCGCCTTCGCCGGACCACCACTTGAGGCCCGCACCTCCACCGGACCACCACCTGACTTGCGAGTCAGCTCGGATTTGACTCGGTAACAGGCTAGATAAGTCGAGCTTGAACATGATTTCGATCTTGATGGCATATCGAGCTAGAGGTCGAATAGCTCTTCGATCGACTCGTCAACTCGTTGAGTAGCTTGCAGAGGTGACCGAGCGAGAGCGAGAAAACTAAATCTCGGTTTGGGTGAGAGGAAGGATGAATCGAAAGTCGGGCGGGAAAACCAAAACGACTGAGCTTGACAACTGAGCTCGCGTGTTGCTAGAGGCGGCTTGCCTGCTTGGGACGACGAAGCTCGCGTGCTGCTAGCCAGCTTGGGATGGAGCTCGCGTGAAGCTAAACGAGTCAAGCTCGAGCTGGTCTTTGGAGCTCGACTTGAGTTGGAGGTCGGTATTTGACAGTCGAGCTTAACTCAAACATCACATGGCTCGAGCTTGACTCGACCGTTTGCACCCCTATCTGTGATAACATACATTGACATAAGTGTCAATGACATGCATTATTCTAGTTAGTGATGATACGCATCATAGTGTTGATTGTGTGCATTTAGTTTAATAGTTATGACATTGGTAATTTAAGTTTTTCTTGTGATAATTTTCTTACTGATTTCTAAAATAATTTTTTAGTAAAAAATTATATAATTCAAAAAAAAAATTGTACTAAAAAATTTATTTTAAAAATAGTAAGAAAATTATGGCAAAATAAATCTTATTATCAATAGTGTAGAAATGATTATACTAGTTTTAAAAATTGTAATTTTTATTTTTTTGGCAATATGATGAACTTTCGTGATAGTAATATCATCATGAAAAATGAAGAAATCACAACAAAAATATGATGAGTGTTATTTTTACTTTTATTTAAAAATTTTAATATTTTAAGAGTAAATAATAAAATTTATGTGTTAAATATATAAATGAATATATTTTAAGTGCTAAGTATGTAAATGCCCCTAAATTTTAATCACATGAATATTAATCATATTTTCAAAATATAAAAGATGACATTGTGACTCACTTTAAAAGGTGTGTGGCTATAATCACATTCAATCATTATATTAAAGAAATTATAGCATGTGCTCAATAGCTTAATTATTAATGAAATAAAAGCATTAAAGAGTAAGAACTCATGGGATGCATTCTGATGGATAAAATTAGGGGTGTCAATATTGGACCCGACCCGAAAATTCGATTCGAACCCGACTTGAAAATTTCGGTTTTGGGTTGACCTGAACCCGAAGCAGGTTGGGTTTAGGTCCGGAAAATCGACCCGTTTGCAAAACTGGGTCGGGCTCGGGTTGACCCAGAAATGACCCGGAAACTACCTCGGATGCCCCACTTGATCGAGAGTAGCGTGCCCAAGACGGAGTCGCGTCGCGGTCGCCTGCCCGAGACGGAGTCGCGTCGTGGTCACCTGCCCGACAGCCCGAGGCCTTGAGTCACGTCGCCGCCTGCCCTGCTTTTCCTGCACCACCGGCGGCCGCTGCCGTCTCCCGCGAGTCGTCGCCTGTGAAGAAAATGCCGAATGACCGAACCCCAAGCGGGTCGGGTTGACCCGAACCCGAAGCGGGTCCGGTTCAGGTCCAAAAAATCGACCCGTTTGCAAAAACGGGTCGGGTTGACCCAAACCCGAATAGTGCCAGGTCAATTCCGAGTTCGACTCGAACCCGACCCGTGACCCGAAATTGACACCCCTACATAAAATTTCAAAGGTGTCCACACACATTTATTATTTTATTCAGACTTTATTAGACTACTTTGTCCTTTGACGAAAAGAAAAGTTCATGCTTTGGACCAATGATTATTAGCCGCCAAAGAGGAATATCAATCACTAATGCTTCCTTAGGATAATTCTCTTTCTATTTCTTAAACAATTCCTAAACCCTAAAAATAAAAAATAACAAAAAAACTATTTAAAAAAAACAGTAAAAAAATTATCTCAAACAAAACCTAATAGACAACTTTGATGGGATACATATTATATATTTACGAGGAATAAATACTTACGAATAAGTTTGATGCATCAACAAAAATAGATTAAATTGAGCTCAATTTTTTTTAGATAAAAATTATTTAAATTAAATACATAATCATATGAATTCAATTTTAATAAATTTATATATAAACTATGATGACATAGAATTCTCTTCACCAAAAATAATATAATGAGCCTATATTATGCACTTAAAAGTATAATTAAACATTTTTAAGATATTAATAAAGGATCAAATAATATTCAATTATAGCATACTTATAATTAAATTGAATATCCAACGAGGTCAAAATGGCATAATTTCGACAACATCAAGACACTTAAATACTAAATGAATAGCAAATATTTAGAAAAATTAATCCGGATAGTTCGATGGATCATCTTATATAAAACTAGCATTTTAGGAAAATAAAAAAAATTAAAATTTAATTACTTGCAAAAACTAAATTCTTATGCTTAATTATTATATTTATGTATATAATACTTTCAAATCATATGAAAAATATCCCTAATGTTAATTTATTTAAAATGAATACATCATCATGCACATATTTTGATAGGATTTAAGCAATATAGTAGTTTATGCAAATAAATAAATATATTTATTTGTTACATCCAATATGAAACTAACTTGGGACCGGGCAACGGCATAAATCTCCCTAAAATAAATAAAAAAGAGGTTATTACATTCGATTTTAGTCGCCCTCATTTGGCCTGGGAATCCTCTTGTATTCATAGTTGTTAATGTCAACCTTCTCCTGCAAAGCCTACAAAGATGATAAAAGCAAGAATTCGAGTTAGAAATGGTGGTGTTTTTTTCCCAGAAAATCAAAGCCAACGGTCAAATAGTAAAGAGGAAAACCTTCAGCTCCTCCTCCAATGAAATTTTCCTTGGATTATAGCCCGTTGAAGGGCCTGTTCTTGTCAACGCTTTGGTTGTTTCAATAATATCCCACTCAAGATCATCCTTCTCTTTTGTTACTTCTTTACTGTAAAAGATGAGGCAATTTTAGGAAATTGAAGCAGTTTGTTTAAAAAAAAAAACATAAATTTCAACAACTGAAAACGGAAGGAGCAAATCAAGAAAGCTTATTTCGCACAATCAAATTCAAACAAGAACACAAATACAGATAAAGCTCGTTCAAACTGAACTTAATTACAACCCTCAATGCAAACAGCTAATCAGGATTAATTATTCTGTGCGGACGTCAAACGTCGTCCGGAGACCAACCAGAGTATGCCAAGTCACCTCTTGCTCGGTACCGCGGCTCGGTACTGCTGAAGCATTTAGGTTGGTCTCCGGACGACGTTCTGCGTCCGGTCTCCGCAGAGAATAATTTCTACCTAATCAGACATCTCAGATCATTTAAGAAACTATTAGAGATGAATATAAACAGTAAAATTTACTTGGTAGATATAATTCAAAGAGACAAGCACAGGATGCGAATTCCACACCTACCTGCCCTGTATGAGATGAGAAAGTCCGATTGAACCCAGCACGGTGAGTGAAATGAGGGGCAAGCCGTATCTAATGAAAGGATACTTCCTACCCCATCGCTTGAATTCAGAAGCAGAATGAAAAATCTTGGTTGGTGGAACTGCCGTATTGGCTTCAGGAGCCATATCTAATTTGGATGAGAAATCACACTGCTTTTAGTTAGAATCAAGACAATATTTTATAATACAATCATAGAAATGAGAACAAAAATGAGCAGAGGAATATCAACTTTCAATAAGTTTTCCCTGCTGTACATCATAAATGAATTCTAATAGCTATGATAAGGTAGCATCTCAAAATTGAGAATTTATAGATTATACGCAATTGAGAATTTAAGTTGTATCTTCATTTTGTTCCAAAGAACTTTCAAGGAAAAGCTCATAAATTTTACATTCTCATTATAAATAACTATTTTAAACAAATCATGTTAGTTTAACCACTTCATTAATATAAGTAATTTGAGATGCATCGACAGTTTTATGACACATCAGAAATGTGTCATTTTTGAGAAAAGATCTAACACCACAGAAGGAGAATAATGCTTTTTTAAGTATCCATGATAAACCTAAATATAACAGCCATACGGACTTTGTAAAATAATTATATGAAAATGATAGTGGCTTGCATAACTCAATATTCTATTTTCTATCTTTAGTAGATTGACAAGTCCTTTAGTGTGAAACAATTCATGCAACTTCTATTTTTATACATAGAAATACTTATTTTCAGTCATGGAAATAGTTTTATCTCACCCAAAATATGCAACACTATTCTCATCAAAGAGTTCTGAAATCAGAAAATCTCTTAATGTCAAGTCAAAAATAAAAAGAGGATTATTCTTATATAAATAATCATATTTAATCATATTGATTTTCGTAAGAAAATATAGATCATTCTGTAAATCATGACAAAAATCACCAAAATCTTTGCATATGACATACTTTTCTTCTATATGATCAAAACAAATTACATTATATCCAATACATGAAGGGCATTAATTCTACTTGAACAATCAACAAGTTTATTTTCAAATCAAACACAACGTTTAAAGACAATAGAAAGATCGTGTAAAAACTCAACCTATATGGCAACTTAGATAGTCAAAAGTTTGATGGTTAGAGTACAATACAAACCCCGTAAGAAATAAATAATAACTCCAAAAACAAAAAGTTTGTGCAAATAACATAAATTTCCCTATCGTGGTTTCAATATTTTTATTTAGCTCATTCAATTTCTCACTAAAGAATACAATAGGATGACCTACTTGGCTCTACGCTTCTCTAATACCAACACTAGATGTGTCAGAAGAAATCACAAATATTTTAATAAAATTAAGCAACTTAAGTACGCGTGCATTTGTAAATTTATCTTTCATTTCAGTAAAAGCACATGTTTATTTGAATTCTCCTTTTCTATAAGAAAAAAAATCTATATATGGAGTCATAACAATACTAAACTCATTAATAAATAGCATATAAAAGAAAGCCAAGTAAAAAAAAAATTTGAATATCTTATATATTAGTAGGCTATGGTATTCTTAATCATTTTGCCTTTATTTGGATCAATAAAATAACCCATCTTCAAATACATCAAAACCTAGGAACGTCACACATGTTGTCACAAAGCTACATTGTTCAGATTTAAATACAACTTTTAAAATTGTAAACCATCAAATGCTTTTCTATGTTTCACCAAATAATCATTTTTTGTCTTGTTATAAGTTAAAATGTCATCAAAATATACAACAAGAACTTTTCTAATCAAACCTCACAAGACATAATTTATGATCCTCATAAAAGTTTTAAGTGCATTTTTAATCCAAAAAACATCAATCATTTATATATTTAATCTTTGATCTAAGGAAAAAATATTCCACTCATCACCTCCATTAATTCTCACTTGATGATAGTCACTCATCACATAAATCTTGGAAAGTATAATATCATCATTCATCATATATAGCATACGATCAAATGAGTTATAATTAAAATTTAATCATTGTTTTATTGATGATCCAGCTGTGTACATGCATATGCCAACTCATTTTTTTACGTGCAAACAAATCAACTACAACATAATGAATAGTGCTTTCCCTCCAAATCCCTTCTCAAGTAAAACATCAACCAATAATTGAAGTTCAACATTTATGTTGAATTCATCCTACAATCAAGCAAACATGGTCCAAATATTATATAAATAGCATATCGTATGTTCCTCAGTCGTGATAAATCATTAAGAACTTCATAAGAATAAACATTTTTAAAATCAACCAAAACTTGTAACAATATCAAGCACTATTTAATTAGTTTAACACCAAGGCATAGATCGCACCCTTTGCCAACTCTCTTTTTCAAACGTAATACTTAAAATATGCAGGAGCTTTTTTCACTTCAATGTGACCACAAGTTTTTTTTACATGCTAAAACTTACTCTCAAGAGTATATATGATGAGGACATCGAAGATCAACGGCGACGATCATGTCTATTTATTTTGATATATTTTATGTATTTGATTTATTAGTATTCTTTTTACTTTTCTACCCTCACTTGAGGGCTTTATCTTATATTTGCATGTACGTTTCACATCAATATATATATATATATATAAATGAGTACATCTAAATCATAGTGCCAAGCTTTATTTTAAATAACATAAGCTATGTACATGGGCAAAATATTACACTAGATTCTATCATTATAAATAGTCAATTGAATCAAAACTAGAAAACTCTCAGAAAAATAAATAACAATTTTATCTACCTAAACTACTTTACATGGTTGTGGATATGTTCATGCTTCAAATTCAAACGAACCGAGACAAATTTAGACAAGATATTGATGGGAACATCAGAGAATGGAAAGTTTATCAGAGGCGTGGTCGCCGATCTACGGCCACGATCACGCCGATCTATTTTTGAGGCCACATATGTATTTGTTTTAGTTGTTTTTTTTTCCTTTTACCCCATACTTAAGGGTTGGTCATGTGGAAGCCCTAAGGGCCAAGTCATTTTTTTATTTTTCTGTTCATTGTATGAGGCTATATATAGCACCCATATGTTTCTTTTGAGATTAATGAATGAATTATAAAAATTTTATGCATATTGAGTTCTTGTGAGAGTTTGAGAGGTTTTGGAGAGAGATCTCTTGGAGAGGGAAGCGGATCACCCACCAACTTTGGAAGAGTCCGGGTTCATGGTTAGTTTTACGGTTTTACCTTTTCTTTTCTCCTCTTCCTCCCTTCCTCTTCCATCCCACGGTTCACCTAGCCCCAAACCGCCGGCTCTCCAAACCTCCCCCTCCCCCACCGTAGGTTTCATCCCATCACCACCACACCACCGGCCACTACCAACCCGCCTTTTTTCCCCATAGCCGTCGGCCTAACACCACCACACAATCAACTAACCTCCTCCCCACCTAGCCGCCCGCCCCTCACCCAAGTCCCTAGCCTAACCGCCGGCCCTAGCCCTTCCCCTTGCTTCCAATTCCAAATTTCCCCATTAATACTTTCCATATTTCACCCAACCACAATTGGAAAGCATTGGGCCCTATTTATTCATTGAAATTTTGAATTTTAAAACTTTCCAAATATAGGATTCTATTTTAGGAAAGTTTTAAAAATTCAGCCCCTTTTGAATTTCAAATTAAATAGGAATTAATTAAATCCTTCCTAATTTCATAATCCAAATCAAGAAGGTTTGATTTATTTCCCAAAGCTCCTTCCTCTCTCTCTCTCTCTATGCCGCCGGCACCCCCTTGGGTCCCCACCTCTTGAACTACTTTTCAACTTGAAGCCCTCCCTCTTAGGTAAGAATTCAAAGCTTCCCCCTCTCTCCTACCCGCCTCCCCTTCCTCTCACCCATTTTTCCCTTTTAATTCTTTCCAAATTTAAGAATCAAATAGGGAAACAAATTCCCAAATTTCTCTCCATCCTACCTCCCAAAATCTAAACCTATCTCTTCCCCAAGCCCTCATCTTGGCCGGCCACCTCTCTCCCTCTTCTCCACTTGAATCCTGGAGAGAAACTTCTTTCTCTCAAGAGGAGTCTTTAAGGGAAGCAAAGTCCGTCATCTCCAACACTTCAACCTTACGGAATCGATGAATGGCCAATCCTGATCTTGACTCCGGCTTCGTCTACAACGAGCAAGGAAACGTTGACATCATCTGGTCAACGTTCTTCGATGTCAACCCAGAAATAGACAACTCCGCTGAGGAATATCTGGATCGTTATCATCTTCACCTTGTCCGAAGTAATCGAAGAGCAGCTTGCCAACATTCAGTGGCAAATCACTTTCGTCCCGCGACGAGGGTGAACTTGTACTCTTCAATTTCTTTCCTAATCTTCTTCTCTTGTAGGTTGTGATTCAAGCACAAGTAGTCATGCAAAGCTATTTGTCATCAATTAGTAAACGTAGGGTTTGAGTTTAATTTTCTTGACTTTCTAATCTCGTTGTTAACCTAGGGATGCTATCGGAAATCTACTTAGTTTGCATACGTTGAACTTTTAATTGTTTTAGTGATCTTAGCTTTTAGCATGTGATTTGGCCTAAGCGAAACCACCTCTTTTTAGTTTTCTATTATCATTTAGTAGCTAACTTTTGTAATTCTTAATTGCTCTTATTCAAAAACGTGCAAGTTATCGCATTCATTTAATTCATACCTAGTCCTATATCAGATATTCATGGAACTTTCACTATCAATTATGAGTTTGCATAGCTTATCCTTATGTTTGAAACAACTATTAAAAAGGCGGAAGAGGCGTACGCACTAAGGCGCGACTTAAGCAGAGGCGAAGCATTTGCGCATTGAGGCTTACGCCTCGTTGGATTCGGCGGAGCGTGCGCTTATTTTGCACGGGGCGTAGGCTTCGGTTCGTAACGCCTCGAAGCGAAACGAGGCACCGCTTCGATTTGTAAGTATATAGATCGAGTGGTTAGAGTCGTATAAGAGTCGAGTATTAGGGTAACATACCTGCTTCTGCTTCGGGTGAGAACTGAAAGGCGAACTCCGCCAACTTGGACGACCACAGTTCGGTCGAGTTCGAATATAGCTGGAGGCGATCGAAGGTAGCGATTTATTTCTTCTTCTTCTCTTGCTTCCCGTAATCTTCCCGTCATTTGCTTCATGTCTCGCTTCTTCTTCTCCAGCTTCT